GAGTCCCGGTCAGACGGCACCCATCTGGACAGTGCTGGGAGTCCTGGTGCTGGGAGTCCCGGTCAGACAGCACCCATCCGGACAGTCTGGCCAGCATGGAGGGTGATCCACATGAACCGAGCCCTGAAGGGTCGCTGGATGGTGACCTGTGTCGGGAACGTTCCTTCGACCGAGACCGGTACCAGGCCGGTTGCAACTGTGGTGATCCCAGTGGCGGCTTGCCTCTGGAGCATGGGGCCGACATCAGTGGAGCTCCGGGCACTGGCATGGACATGATGTCCCTGGCTGCCTGGAGGGCTTCGGGCGTAGATGGCATCTGGACATCCGGAGAGGCCTGCTCTGAAGGGGCCGGGCTACTCCGCTCAACGTGAGTCGTAGGCCTAGGGCCTGATGGGGATCAAGGACTACCCGACATGGGCCTAGCCTCTGTCCCAGACTTCCCTCGGCGCCGCTGTGAAGAGGGAGTCTTTCCAGTCCTCTTGGCGTGCCCCGTGGATGGGAAGCAGTGCCCACCAGAGGGTATTCCACAATAGGTGTGCGTACCAGAGGGTCTCCGCGTACTGACGCCACAGTGCCGGGTACCGGTTCGGAGGGCATGCCGGGGTCGGGGTCAGTGCCGACTCCATCAGGATGGCCCGGAGCCTAATGTCCCTTTCTTTTTTAGTCCAGGGCTTAAAAGACTTGCAGAGCTTGCACCTTTCGCTGATATGGGTTTCTCCCAAGCAGTGCAGACAATCCGCGTGCAGGTCGCTCCTTGGCATAGAGCACCTACAAGAGCCTCCTGACTTAAAGCCTGGGGCGCGGGGCATGCCCTGGCCCGGGTTCAATGACTAACTAAACTAACTAAATTAGCTAACTGACTACAGGTACTATTGAACAAATGAAGAGTTCTGGGGACAAGCCGCAGCAAAGCTGGAGCTGAGCAGTTTCAACGCACCTCCACTGGTGGCAAGAAGGAACTGAGGGTGGGGGGAGCACAGCTCCCCCTTTTTCCACGGCAGGCAGATGCTGCCGGGGGGGCTCCCCCTTATGGGTACTGCTAGGGGAAAAACTTCTGGCACTGGTGCACGTCGCGAGCACGCACACCTATTGTGGAATACACATGAGCAATCACTCGAAGAACCCTTTTTTCCAATATTTCTACTTGCATCTCCATCCTTTGTTAAATAAACGTATACTTGCTTTCACTATAACCCTGTCTAAGTGCTGTGTGAAGCGGGGTGGTGAACTGAGGTGGAACTGGTAAACGGGGGTGTACTGTTCCTTTGAGACAGGGAATCTGTGAATGCTGCGAGTGTCCAATGGAGCAGTTCCTGGACACTCCAGGTAGATGCTCAGAGAATGCAGGAGTGTGCCAACTGCTAACCTGCAGAGCGACAGTGGGGCCTCCGAGGCCCAGAGGGCAGGGCTGGTGCTGCCCAGGGTCAGTGGAGTTGGGAAGCTGATCCCTGGCAGATACAGACTCTGCTTCCTCACACTAAAGTCACATGGTAGCAAGGTGCCTCACAGCCCTGGGTACCCAAGGAAGCGTCACAGAAAGTCCCGTGGCAATAGCCGGGGGAAGTCTGAGGATCCTCTTGTAGGCCTCCTCCCAGAGTGTCCCAATGGGGATGGTTTGTCCTCTGCAGAAGAAACCAAAACCTGGCAGAGCTAAGGGGATATACGGGAGAACAAAGCCATCCACCTTAAGATTGTGGGCCTCTGTGGTGCTCCAGCGCCCAGCATCCTGGCCACAGATGACCCTCAAACCCTGAGATGGACACAGGGAGCTGCAGAGAATAAATACAACCTGCTGTTGTATTATTTTTGACTAATATTCACGTCTTCTCCCCACCTGTTTCCCTCACTCCATCTGCCCTAGGCCTCCTGAACTCACTCCCTTGGACCTTGCGGAGAAGCCTCCAGAGGGATAGAGTGGGATGGGATGGTGCCAAGTACATGGCAGAGTCCTGCGGTGTAGGAAAGAGAGCCACATATGTAGGGTTCCCTCCATGCACAGGTCTAGGGCCAATCCAGACCATGGTAACAAGGCATGTGGCTTTACTGGTGGAGGGATACAAGAAGCAGTCGCAGCAATTTAGCAGACTAAAACATTCCTAAGGTAACAGTGTGTGTCAGGGCGGCGATGTACAGAGGATATTGGTAGCTGTTTGTACATCCCAAGCTCAATTTGCTAATTGCTTGGGCTGAAACTTTCAATGCCAGGTGTCCGATTTTGAGGGGAGGTGGGGGGGTTTCAGCCAAAATGGCTCAACGGTTTCAGAGAATAAGGTTAGGACATTCTGGCAACTTTCTTTAAAGAGCTCTAGCACCCCCACGCTTTTCAAAAGGGACTAAAAATTAGTAGGGGTTGGCTTTTGTATCAGGGAGGTATCATTTGCTTTTCCCATGAAAATCCGCTCAAATTTGACCAAGTTAGAAGCCTTTGAAAATTGCAGTTTGCTCAAAGAATTCTTAGATTTTTAGCTGCTAAATTTCCTGAACATTCTATCTGAACTGAGCATGCTCCAGCTCAAAGGTGAGCAGGACTATCCCTGGAGCTGCAGCTCTGGACTATGCCAGGTCTGGGCTCCTGAACTGAGAGCAGATGACCGCTTGCTGAGCCCAGGCAGCATGGAGGAGGAAGCTGCCTGATTTGAGTGCAGAGGGGACCTGGAGTAGATTGGGACAAGGAGCCTGTCAAGCTGATAAAGGAGACTGGGAGCCAGGGAGGGAAACTAGATGGGGGTTGGACACTGTGAGCAAGACCAAGATAACAAGACGACCACAGGGAGAGTTGGGCAGGAGAAAGGGGGAGGAGACAGATCTGACGAGGAGCCAGTGTGCTGGGGGAGAACTGGTACGGCGGGGCAAAGACTTGAACAAGAAGCTGGAGTGGAGGGGACTGAGACTGAGCAGTGCTCACATGCTATTTTTTCCACAAAACCCCGGCTTCATTCAGTGCACAGGAGGGCCTGCTCTGGGGATGAATTAGGGCTGTGTAGTGAAGGAGGCTGTTGTCTATAGCACTCCTGCTCCATTTGTTGCAGAATTTGGAAGGGTTGTAGTGAACGAGGCAGGAAGAGAAAGGACAGTCTCATGGTTAAGGCAGTCAAATGCTGCCCTGGAGAACTGGATTCTATCCCTGCCCCTGCCACCGAGTACTATATGATCATAGAATCATATATAATCATAGAATATCAGGGTTGGAAGGGACCTCAGGAGGTCATCTAGTCCAACCCCCTGCTCAAAGCAGGACCAATCCCCAATTAAATAATCCCAGCCAGGGCTTTGTCAAGCCTGACCTTAATAACTTCTAAGGAAGGAGATTCTACCACCTCCCTAGGTAACGCATTCCAGTGTTTCACCACCCTCCTAGTGAAAAAGTTTTTCCTAATATCCAACCTAAACCTCCCCCACTGCAACTTGAGACCATTACTCCTTGTCCTGTCCTCTTCTACCACTGAAAATAGTCTAGAACCACCTCAGGTAGTTGAAAGCAGCTATCAAATCCCCCCTCATTCTTCTCTTCTGCAGACTACACAATCCCAGTTCCCCCAGCCTCTCCTCATAAGTCATGTGTTCCAGACCCATTTTTGTTGCCCTTCGCTGGACTCTCTCCAATTTATCCACATCCTTCTTGTAGTGTGGGGCCCAAAACTGGACACAGTAACTCCAGATGAGGCCTCACCAATGTCGAATAGAGGGGGACGATCACGTCCCTCGATCTGCTCGCTATGCCCCTACTTATACATCCCAAAATGATGCTGCACAAGTCACTTAAACCAGACTTTCCATAGGTGATCACTAATTGTGAGTTTCTCATTTTCTGGGGCCCAACTTAAAACCATGAGCTCTGATTTGCAGAAGTGCTGAGCACTCACAGCTGCAGATGAAGTCAATGGGAGATGTGCTTGCAACATATAAAGTGCTATATAATGCCAAATACTCTGAAAAAAATCAGATCCTGGGCATTTCAAATTGGGCACCTAAAATTAGTGGATACTTCAGATGTTAATCTCTGTGCCTCGATTCTCCATCTGTAAAATGGGGACAATACCCCCTCACCTTACAGGGGTGTCATGAAGATTAATCTATGTTTGTGAAACACTCAGATACTACTGGTGACAAGCATCATAGAAAAGCCAACTTGGAAATGAGTAATTCTGTCATCAGTGGAGGGTTGTGCAGTCCATAAAGCCTGAGGCCTCATGCTGAACACCCAGGAGTAAAATATTGAATAGCTGTCCATCCTGTGCACTGAATAAGGCAGATCCTGTGGACAAAATAGTATGTGATCATGTAATTAAAGACCATAAATCCAGACCCACAAGGGGCTGCATTAAGGTTGCATAGAGCTCCCTAATTCCATTTGAGTGCTTGCTTATGTAACCCTAACTGTTCTTTTCATGTAGTTCTTGCATGTGTGACAATTTTAGCGAATATCCTCCACTCCTATTTCTGTTGGAGGACTGCAATGAGATTGTGACAGCACAACAGGCTGCTAGAGTCTGAGCTGCTGTTCTCCAAGTGCACATAAGTGGCTTACAGATTTAATCAGGAAACAAACTCTGAACCTTATTACTATGTATGTCAAATGAACCCAGGCACTGAATTCAAGTTTACACTGATGTTGCACTTTTTTTTAGTGGTTGTCTACACCAAATTTTTTCCAGTTATACCAGCATAAACATCCCATGTGAACATACTTATTCTGGGATAAGAGTGGATTTTTTCTGCTGAACTTAAATCACTTCCAAAGAGACATAAACGAAGCCAGAAAAAAGGCCCTTTTATACCAGAATAGTGCAACCACATGGGGAGTTTAGCGCTTTAAATTCACACCCTATCTTATACTGGCATAACTTTCGCCCTGTCAACAAGCCCTAACATGCCATGATTGCTAACTCTGACCTTGAGCCACTAAACCTATGCATTCATGCATTCCCATAATGTAGATATTACAGCTCCAATCTGGAATGCTACAGACGGCAATGAAAAGCAGACAAAGGTTCTATTACCTGATGTTGCTGAGGACTGTTCCACTATTCCAACCTTTACCACCTGGAATGGAAAACACAATTGAGTTTATATGTATTGGTCAGCTCCATCACTTGAAAAACTGTGAGCCAGAGGCTTGGTCTCACAAATCGCTTTCCTATCACTCTGGTGATGCAAAAGGACCAGAAAGATGGCTCGAGTGGGCAGTGGAGTACTCTACTGGTGATAGAAATCCCTGTCTGGCATACAACGAGCTATACCAACTTAACAACAGTTGGTGGTGACCAGGCAGCAACTGTGAAAAATCTGAACAGGGGTTGGGGGAGTAATAGGAGCCTATATAAGAAAAAGACCCCAAAATCAGGACATCTGGTCACCCTACAACAGTCCCCTGTCCCCCGTAAGGGGAGCATGGAACCTTGGGATGGTTATCAGCCAGTGTAACTTGAATCAACCCTGAGACTGCTCAAACTTATACCAGAGACCATATCAGTCCCCTGCTGCCCCTAGGAATAGGAACGGGAGCAGAAAGACAATAGAAAACCTTTTTTGGCTACACCACTTCAACTACCATTGAAATGCAGTCACATCTGGGGTGCACCACAGTTTCTGTTTAACATTTTACCCCAACACTATGGGATAGCCAGGAAGAAAACAGGTTTCAGAGTAGCAGCCATGTTAATCTGTATTCGCAAAAAGAAAAGGAGTACTTGTGGCACCTTAGAGACTAACAAATTTATTTGAGCATACGCTTTCGTGAGCTACAGCTCACTTCATCGGATGCATGTATCCAATGAAGTGAGCTGTAGCTCACGAAAGCGTATGCTCAAATAAATTTGTTAGTCTCTAAGGTGCCATGAGTACTCCTTTTCTTTTAGGAAGAAAACAGTATCTAAATCGGGGATCTCAAACTCAAACCACCACAAGGCTACATGAGGACTAGTATATTGGCCCGAGGGCCGCATCACTGAAACCTTTTCATACAACGATACAAAAGTATAGTCAAAAATGAAAAAAATGAAGAGTAATATAGTATGCGATTAAAAGTCAATGTACTAACTTTTTAAAAACTAATGTGAAGAGGGGTTTTAATAAAATATAAACACTCAGTAATGCACCTCACTCAAACAACATGCGCTTACTTTTAGAATTAGTTAGGTTAAAGCCCCCCCCCATGGCCCCGCCCCCACTCCACCCCTTCCCCAAATCCTGGCCCCGCCTCTTCTCCACCTCCTCCCCTGAGTGCGCCACGTCCCCGCTCCTGGGAGCTTGGCTGCTGGTGTAGTCCATGCCTATGGTGGGCTGCAGGAAATAACTCTGTCGGCCGCCAGTTTGAGACCCTTGATTTAAATGATAATTTTCTAACACTAGAATTAATGCAACCAACACCGGTTAATTCTACAGTAGACCTCTCATTCTGATGGATAAAGATGAATTGATCACTGAACTAAGAATCAGTGGTTACTTAAGTGCAAGTGAACATGATCTGATTTGCAATTCCACAATCATGTAAGGTGGCTGCACTGATTAAAGAATCCTGGTTTAGCGGGGAAGTGAAAGCAGCAACACAAAATAAAGACAAAGTATAACAAATGGGGAAAAGGAAAAGTTAACAGCAACAAATATGAAGTTATGAAATGCAATATAAGATAAAGAAAGCTAAAGATATCAATGAAAAAAATCTAAGGTTAAGGACAATGTTTTTTAAACGTATCAGGAATTTATCACTTGGCAAGATGATAAAACTGTCTGATACAGACAAGGCAGAAGAAGCATTCAATAACTATTCCTGCTCTGTATTTGGAAAGAAGCCAGGTGCTGTATTCATATACAGTGAAAAAACACGTTCCAATCAAATATTAATTAAGGAAGCTGTTAAACAGCGTCTTCCAAAGTTAAAAATGTTTAAAAATCAGCAGGGCAGTATAACTTGTATCCAACAGTTTTAAAAGATTTGGCCAAGGAACAAAATGAACACTCAATGCTCATTTTAAATAAACTTGAACTCTAGGGAAGTTCCAGAGGAAGAAAGGTAGTGTTGTGCCAATATTTATAACGGGTAAATGGGGTAATCTGTGTAAATATAGGCCAATTAGCTTGACATCAATGCTGGGCACCAATAATAGAATGGTTAAATAAGGCAATCAATAAAGAATTAAAGATGGTAGCAGAATTAAATGCCAGTTAAGTTTTATGAAAAACAGGCTTTTTCAAACAAACTTGGTATTGTTTCTTGATGAAGCTAAGAATTTGATTTGAGAGAGTTGTGTTGACATAACGTTCTTGGACTTCGGTAGCTTAGTACCACACACCACTGATTTAAAAAATCATAGAAAATCAAGACACCACTGCAACACTGTGGCTAAGAGGGCTAAGATGACCCTTGGATGTATAAGTAGGGGAATATAGGTGATGTGTAATTACCTCTGTATATAACATTGGCAAAACCGTTACTAAAATACTATATCCAGTGCTGATGTCCAACTTCAAAAAGGATATTGACAAACTAAAGAGAGTTCAGAGAAGAGCCACAAGAATGATTTTGAAGCCTGGAAAACCTGCTGTACAGTGAAAAATTAAACCAGTCCAATCTATTTAGCTTAACAAAAAGAAGATTAAGAGGTGACCTGAACGTGGTCGAAGTATCTAAATAGTACAGGATTCAAAAGGCTGGTCAACCGCAAAAAGTTATTTTGACCTAGTTATGTCGCTCGGGGGTATGAAAAATTCACACTCCTGAGAGACGTAGTTATGCCGACCTATCCCCCAGCGTAGACAGCGCTAGGTCACAGAAAATTGTTCTATCAACCTAGCCACCCCCTATTGTAAGGTGGATTACCTACACTGACAGGAAAACCCGGCCTGTTGGCATAGGTGGGGTCTCTAATGAAGCTCTGCAGTTGTGCCACCGTAGCATTTCAAGTGGAGACCAGCCTCCACAGGGATGGATTTACCACAGGAAGGGAAGCACCCTTTCTGTCACTACATCTGTGATGCTGTAGTGATTCTAGTGCAGACATACCCTAAGATAGAAAAGGGATAAAACGACCCACTTACTGAAAGTGGAAACTTCATAAATTCATACTGGGAAAAGCCACAAGTTTTTATAGGTAAGGGTGGCAACCCTGCAGCCACTTACAAGAGAACGGCGTGGATTCTCCATCAATTCAGGGCTTTCAAATCAACAGTGGATTTCTTTCTAAAAAATATGTTCTCTGGTTCACCTGCAAGTTATTGAGCTTGATGCAGGAATTGCAGGGGGAAATTCTGTGGCCCATGATCACAATGGTTCCTTGTGGGTTTAATCTATGAAATTGGAAGGGGAAATCAGGACAGCAGTATGTAGTTACCTAAATTTGAGTGTGACCAGGGCCCTGAGGCTAAAGAGTGTGCCGGGGGTAATAAATAATAAGTGAGTGTGTTTCAACTTGGCAGTTTTATGAATGCAAAATAGAAAGTTTTCGTCTTTCTCGAGAGAATGTTCTTCTTCCCTATTTAAAATAGAGAAGCAATGCTAATTTAAAATAAGTCAACGTGAGAACTGCTGAACCAGTATTCTTCAAACTTTATTTGGCAAATTACAATGAGAACTAAATTTAAGTCAAGAGGAGACTCTTATAAAAACCTGAAAAAGTTGTATCGTGTGCAGTGTTCATATCACTTCAAGCCTAACATCTTAGCTCCTCTCCCTTTCATTAGGAGAGCTGAAACACTTCACGTAAGGACACACACCCATTAGTCAGCCATGACTCAGAAAAATTCATTGATCCCGGAGCTTGCAAGACACTCAAAGTCATGAGAATACTTGTCATGGAAAAGTCAGTGCAATTCACCTCACAGCCTCAGGGAGATTAGTATCTTAGTTAATAAGGGGTTTGGGACTTTGTCACTTATAGCTGGAAGTACTACTGATCTACACAAAACACACAAAAGCTGAATTAAGATGGTCAGAAGGAGGAGGAAGAACAAGTCACCCCCTCATAAAAAGTAAGGGAAGATACTAAAATGCAACAAAAAAACAGAGACGCAGAGACATCTAGTGGCTGAAGAGAAATCAACAAGTCATCCTTTAAGGTTATAATATTAAATGGATTTATACCAGAACCTTGGAGAGGACTGAATAACCTAACCAAGAAAAAAGTAAACCCGAGAAAGGGAAGATTGCTCCATTCCTGTGAAACACGTCAGCAAGAGAATCAGAGCACCAGAAGGGCAGGCAACACAAAAGTTACTATTTCTCTCAGCATGCCTACAATGGCAGGGTAAGGAGAATAGCGACTCATTCACGAAGAATTTAGCCACAGCAGCCAGGAGCCCGGGTCATGGACTAGGACCCCATTGTGCTAGGTGCTGTACATATAGAACAAAAAGATAGCACCTCCTACCCAAAGGAACAGACGTTCTAAGTGCAAGACAAGCCACAACATCAGTATAGGCAGACAGTGTAGTACAAGTAAACAATGAGACAATATTTGTCAGCATAATAGGCAATGGTCTCTGCACACCAACCGCTTAGCGGCTGTCAAGTTTTTTGTGGGCCTCAGGACCAAGGAGAGTTCTGAGGAGGGAGTCGAAGGTGGAGAAGGAGGTAGGGTTTCGGATGTTCACGGGAGAGCTCTTCCCAGGTGCAAGGGGCAGCATGGGAGAAAGTACAAAGGTGCCAGTGGGAACATCTAACAAGTGGGCATTGGAGGTTGGTATCACGGGCCAATAGAAGAGCACTGACAGCTCGATAGCAAACAAGAGATGAGAGGCTGGGAATTGACTGCAAGGCCTAGAAAGTGGAGAAGGGAAGCTTGTATTTGACGTGATAGAGAAGGGGGAGCCAGGGCAAGGATTAAAAAGAGAGGGGGTGACATGGTTAATGATGAGCTAGGAAATAATCTTTGCAGCAATATTCTGAATGGGTAACAGCAGGACAAATGCAATCTTGCCAAGGCCAGAGAGGATGTTGCAGTAAGCAAAATAAGAGCTGAGAGCCTGGACAAGAGTTTTAGCTATGTGGATGCATAAGAGAGGCAAGGCTGGATCTTAGAGATGTTATGCAGAAAGAAATGCAAGATTTAGATATAGGCTGGATATTGGGCCGGAGTCATCCAGCCTGGACAAGAGTTTTAGCTATGTGGATGCATAAGAGAGGCAAGGCTGGATCTTAGAGATGTTATGCAGAAAGAAATGCAAGATTTAGATATAGGCTGGATATTGGGCCGGAGTCATCCAGCTCTCAGTCACATGGTTTGAATATTAACATACTAGTACTGAGAAAAGTGGAAGGTTAGCAGATTTCATACAAAGTATTCCAAAACCAGAACACTTCATTTCAACAGTTAAGGGAAAACAAGATGACTTGGGTAACTATAGGCCTTTTACCCTGACTTTGATCCTGAACAAGATCATGGAAAGGCTAACATGGGATATAATCAGTAAAGAAGTAAAGGATGGTAATTAATGACAAGCAGCTTGATTTAAAGGAAAATAGCTCTTTGTAAAACTTAATTTTTTTGATGAGGTTGTAAATTTGGTTGATAATGGTACATGCATTGAGATAATATATTTGGGCCTCTATAAAGTGTTTGGCTTAGTATCACACAATAACTAGTCCTACTAGTTCAACATATTAAATGGAGCCTCAAAAGAAATTCTATGTGGGAATTACCACCCCAATGGGCGTGTTTTTAACGTGGTCTGTTCTGATAACCGGGCCTACACATTTAACCTAATTGTGAGCTCAACTGTAGAAAGTGAATGAAAGTTCATGAAGGGTCACAATAACCTGCAACAAGTGCTGGTGGGAAAAAGGTGCAAAAGGGAACAGCCAAAAAGGAATGCTGATATAACTCCAGGACTGTACCAGGCATAACTTTAACAAGTGGGGGACTGGAAATCAATGAACCAAATTTGGTGTCTTGGAAATTAGGCTTAATGGGTGAATAAAATAATAAGGGGATGGGCTAATCCACCCTCCACTCCCTTTTAAAGAGCCTTAAATGCAGCTATAGAATTTGTAAGTTTCTTTTTCAAAAAGGCCATGTTTTCATTTTGAAATTATTGGTAAAAATTCATTTTGAATCAGAGTTATAAGTTACAGTGATGTAATATGCATGCCTTTATATGCAATATTATGCTGGCAGGGTAACATTTGAGGCTGTTAACTGTGGGTGTTCTGGCTTTACAGTGACTCAATTTTGTAATTAAATGTTAATTTAAATAAAGACTTTCTTTTCTAAGCATTAGATTTGCTTTGCATAACACTTCTGATTTTAGGGAATTTCTTTACCTGTCAGGAATGGTCTAAACTCTAGATAATACTTAGTGCTGCCATGAGTGCAGGAGACTGGAGTAGATGACCTCTCAAGATCCCTTCCAGTCCTACGATTCTATTTACCACGCACTAGGTACCACACAATTCTGTGCAGCTACAGGTAAAGTGGTACACAAATTTGTAATATGAAGTGCCAAGAGTTGGCTGCAGAGAGAAAAAAGAGTAAGACTTTTCTCAACTTGAATAGTTTCCAGGTAAATCCTCAACTCAATTTCAGGAAGGGCTTTACTGGTAAGTTTCATTTTTTTAAGAAGAGGAAACCCTCTTCAGAAAGCAAATTTTTGTAGATGGGTTGGTAGGTGATAGACACTTAATATCTTGAAGTCTTCAGATCAATAGTGGATGCCTTTCTGGAAGATTAGCTCTAGTTAAAGACAAGAACTGGACTCAGGACAGGGGTAACTATGTGAAAATCTATGGCCTGTATTATACCATATAATGTCAGCCTGGATGATCTAATTATCCCTTTGGGGCCTTAGAATCTATGGATCCAAGTGAAATTGTTAATAATCAACCTTGTTTTATGAAATTCACCAAACTTTAACCTGCACATCAAAGCAAATACTCACCCCAACAAAGGGAATGAACTTCTGGGATGATTCTTCATCAGGGCTAGAAGTAACGAGGAGAGAGTGATTAATAAGAAGTTCTTTCAATGCTGAGAAAAAAATTCATGTTACTGTTTCAATCAAGCATGCAGCAGGAACTGAAAATGTGCAAGCGCCAATTCTATTTCTTCTCTCAGTGTCTCTCTGACAATATTCCGAGAGCCCACACCAGCTGGGGAGTATTGCACCTCCTCAGAAGTCTTCTTAAAATAAAAGAGGAAGTTTTCCCCCCCTCTCACTCCCTTGCTGTTTTTTTGGAGAGAGAAACATGCTTTAATGACATGGCAGTAGCTATACTCATACACATGACTTCCTACTGCAAAGAAATGAACCCGTGCCACAACATACATCACCAGCAATACAGAGACCTGCAGGTTACTTACTAATAACTGAAGCTCTCGGAACACACTGCCTTCACGAGTCCCACTTTGCAGTCGAGTAGCATACCTTGCAAATCCCAGAATCACTAAAGCAGTCAGCCTGCTATGGGTTAACAAGCCATGACACCTTACTTGTGTGGCACCAGACACACACATGCACAAAAACAGGTAACACTGCCACAAGGAGCTTACACCCTGAGTGAGACACAACGCAAACAAAGCCCAGACCCAGAGCTGGAACAGAATGCTCTTGGAAGATCACTGATGTTTAGGAAGCAAACTGGAAATAGTGACTTCAGGAGGGCTGGGAGGAGAGGCAGGTGGCTCACCCAGACAGTGTAATGGGACACAGACAAGATGTCCCACATACAGCCCCAAGTGCGGCAATAACACGACTTACACTTTGAAGGAGGTGGTATATCAGTCCTGCCCAGAATTCAGAAACATGGAGGAGGGGAGAGAAGAAATCCGTGGCGCTGTGGTGGCACAGAGGAAGGAGGGGGAGCAGGAGGCACACGTGGGAGGCAGGGAGACAAGAGGGAAGTGATGGGTAGGAGAGGGGGAAGGGAAGGTGCTTGGTGGGAAAAAAGCTTGAGGGCAGGGGTCCCCAATGCGGTGCCTGCAGGCCCCATGGTGCCCGCTGGGGCATTTTTGTGAGCCCGCAGGACACCCCGTTGCCGGAATGCCACCGAGAAGCGTTACCATTTCTCGGCGGCATTTCAGCAGCGACGCTTCTTCCCGCTGCCACATCTCTGCGGCGGCATTTCGGCGGCAGGGTGTCCGGCGCCTGCCATAGTCTTCTGGAAATAGCAGTATGCTATTCCCACAAGAAAGGTTGGGGACCACTGCTCCAGGGCACCATGGAGGGACACGATGAGAGGTGCAGGGATGGGGACAGAACGGCAGAGGTCAGGAGAGGGCAAGGGGAGTCACTCTCCAAGCAGCCACTGGAGAGGCCTGAAGTGTGCGCTTGCACGTCTGAGGCTGAATCTGAAGTCGAAGAAAGCAGGTGGGAGAGTTTTAAATCTCGCAATTTTTGAATGCTGGGAGCTTTACACTCCGTCAAGAAAGGCATTTGCTGTAGCCTGTACTACTGCAGAGCGCGGCTCAAACACTCAAGACATGGAGTCCATCAAAAGAAACAAGCCGCCCCGTGGTGCTCTCTGCAGCAGATCCTCTGAAAAGGTGCGGAAACATGAAAAATGCTGACAACTGTACAAGTCGGACTGGCTAGACAGCTTCCTCCCAGCCGTGTGTAAGAGGTGGCACGCAGCTGAGGGATGTGTGACTCAGGCACAGCTCCCGCCCTGCTTCAGGGGCAGGGGGTGTTTTACCATAGCCCTTCTTATGGTGCAACTTACCCTTGCACTGGCTCAGCTGGTAGGAGTGTTGGGGTGGAACCAAGGCTCCACTCACTTCCCGACCCAGCTGTTTTCTTCATGCTTCAGCCACGCTGAGCAAGAACTAATTATACAGACGCTCGTGTCCTTTATCTAGGCTTTCCATCACACCCTTTTAACTCCAGTGCTAGCCCTTGCCATTAAACCTCTAGAAACTTCCCTGAACGAAACCTGCTAGAGTACACAGCAGAGAAACTGGGAAGTGCTACTGAGAAACCTCTAACGGACTATGGAAGTTGTAGAGCTGTTGAGATAAAACAGCAATGGAATCTCAGTCCTTTCCTTCCTTAGCTACAAGTAGATAAGTGCTGTCCTCATCTGACAGCCTCACACTGCCTGGTCACTCAGTGGGATGATGAAAGTACCAGAGTATCATGCTTCTTACTCTTGCTGCTATTCCAGTTCTCTTTAAGCACTAAAAAACCCAAACCAAACGCCGTTGCAGCAGAACATTTGCTCAGTTCTGCTGAGGACAAATGCAAGTACCAGAGCAGATGCCTTCCAGGGAAAGCCAAGATGTCTTTGATTCTAAAATAGTAATTTGCCCATTTTAAATGGCAAGTAATGGTTCATTTCTTAACTAATGCTCTTGACAGTTGATTAATGCTTCTTAAAATGACAACTGAACAGATTTCAGTTAGAAGCATTAACCCAAAATCACTTAGTTTGGAAGAATGCGCTCTTCTTTAAATATTGTTCTTGTGGGCCATATAGAAGTTTGCTTATTTTTATGTCTATTAATTATTTTAATAGAAAAACACCAGCAGGATGGATGGACATACATATAAGTGGTGCTCAGAAACAATCTGTGCCACAGAAAGCCTTAGCAGGTAGCCAACTGTTACACTGGGAAAAAAGGCAATTTTTTTTTTTAAATGATGAAAACAGATTAGGAAAAAGTGGATGAAAGTAAAATTCCCTTCTTGAAGTCCTTGTTAAAATAATAATTTATTCTATCGGGAGAAATGACTGAATGCCCAACCTTGTAATGTACCAGTAATCAGGACTGCTAGGAAGTACTGAAGTATTTGACACAACACATACCAGATTAGATATCAGAACAAGCAATTCTAAGGTGTGATTTTTTTTTTAAAGTGGCTTTGAAAATCACAGTCCCAGGCTCCTTTATCTGATACATCTCTTGTATTTAACTTTTGGTTCTTGAGGTTGGATGAGACTGGCAGGAGCTGGAATTGGGGGCTGCTGATCTCCCTCCCTTCCCCAAACAAACAGTGGGGAATAAGTCTTACAAGCCAGCCTTTGTCCAAAAGAAAAAAAAGGAACAGGGGATCAGGTCGGCTTCACCTGGCTAAACAAGCCCAACGAAGGCCTAGTTTGCACTAGAAAAGATTTTGATGAAATAGTAAGTCAAGAAGGGTAACCTAGAACTACAGGGATTTTAAATATGATAGTGAAGAAATTAAACAGCTGCCCTGATCTTGCAAAATGTGGTCACTGTATATTAAGCTTCCATTTATAAAGGGTGAATAAACAATTAACGGGTGTTCTCAGCCTGTTACAGACATGAGGAGTATGCTACAGAGGGCAATCAAATCAGCAGAAGGTGTTTGAGTTTAAGTAACCAGTTGACATGCAGAGCGGGATAACACCACTTTTCTAGTCACAGGGATGGGAAGGTTAAAGGCATTAAGATTGTGAGGCACTAACCTATTACAGTGATAGGTGCCGGACAAGTACTTAAGGTTGGTTAGTCAATTGTTAGCCTTTTATTAAAACACCTATTAACTCTTTATACACTATAAATGGAACTTTAATACAGAGCGTGACACCGAATGTATCGAGGGGGCTTGATTTTACAGTCAGAGGTCCAAAACCAGGCTCTCGGTTCCAGTAATGCCCCCATATGGTCAGCAGGAGAAAGGGGTAGCAGTTCTGTCCCACCAGGTGAGGTCTTTGTGGCCCATTACACTGGTTGAAGGCCAAGTGCCAACAGCAGCATCATGCAGGGCAGTCACTCCACACCCCAGAATTCTCATCCTTAGGGATGAGGGCATCAGTGTTTGCGGCTAATTTACTGCAGATGACAGTCACAAAAATACTGGTTTTGATTTCATCAACTTGCATTGTGAATAAATGGATGAAATGGCCAAAAGTCATTTAGACTCTTTGGAAGATTCACTTCCAAATTTGATTTCTCCCTGTGGGTGGGAAGCGTGTCAGTCTTTCTCCGCAACTTCGGACCATTTTCAGCGTTTGTCATACTCCTGGGCCATGTCACATGCATGGGTACTCTGGGTCCTCTCGTGTCTGAGGCACTTTTCAAGTCATTCACAGATCTAGCCATCTGTTTGCCCTCGTTTCATTGCCATCTCCGATAATGCAGTAATGGAGCTGGGTTCCAGGTTACTCACTGGGTTCCAGGTTACTCACTGGAGAATCCATGGCATTCCCTACCATCTGACCTAAGCCATGCTATAGGCTCCATCTCTGCCACAGTAGCACACCATATGCGAGTGCTCTTGGTCTCCCGAAAGATGTAAAATTCTTATTAGAGTGACCATAAGCCCTTGCAAAACCAGCAACTTTTCCTGGAATGCAGCTATTGGCAATCATGACAATACAACAGAATGTAGTAAAACATCACATTTCAGCCCCATTTACCCCCTGCTGCACAGTTCAGAGAGGTCAAGGGCACAAAATGCATCAAATTATTCCCTCAGAGTGCCCCAAAGAGGAAATGCTGTCATGTTTTCCTCAAGTGCCGCCACAGATTCTCACCAATGCCAACCACAACAGGTGGGCATGGCTGAGCCAAAAAGAGGCATGGTTCTGGGGGTGGGGTGGTGGGGGGTTTGAACAAAACTTCCATTGCAGGCTCCCCCCTAGATTCCAGCATACAATCTGGCAAGCTTCAGAGCCTGCGCTTTGGAAGAGACAGTGTTGGGTGCCGAGCCCTGGGGCAGTGTGTCCCGTTGCGAGGGGAAATATCTTTTAGACATCCTGGGCTGCTCAATGCTCACTGGCATGTGACGCGCTCCGGCAGCATTAACTACCATGGTGCAAGGAGGGCATGGGGTCTTGCCTTGCAGCAGCCAGGTCAGTAGTGCCACCTCCAGTGGATAGGCCTGGCACTGGTACAATGCTGCTGGTGTCTCTAACACCTACTGAACTGGAGGCAGCTTTCTAGGCCACAGCAGTCCTATACTCCACCAACCTTCTCTGACCAGGGTCAGCAATATGCTGCACTGACCCACTGGCCTGCA